CGTGATTCAACTCACGGAGAAGTCCTTTTCCATCCCCGTGGGCCCATCAGACAAGGAGTACTTATCAAGGGGCAGCTTCTTGGTGCGGGAGCCCGTGTCCCCATCTTTGCCTCAGATCCTTAAGGATCTCTGGGTCTCTGTAGCTCTGTGCACTTGTCAGTCTGTGCCTTGTGTTGCACAGGGAATTCCAAGATGAGTGTGAGGCCCACTGTCACTTGGGACCCCGAGCTGGTCGTTTCACAATCAGCCTTTTGAATTTATTTTGTCTGCAGGAGATTTTCATTGTCTTTCTTAATTTTTGGAACAGATTTTTTTTGTTTTAGACAGGCATTTCACGTTTTTACTTTGTAGCATTTTTCTATAGAGGCAGTCCTTGTAGGATTAAAAAATTAAGTCCATGAAAGTCTTGCTTTTTCAGAGACTGGTCCTGTCTTGCTTCTTTTAGGCAAGATGCAAGTTTTCAGGAAAACGGCCCTTTTTTAAAAACAAACAACCAAACAAAAAAAACCTGCCCTTTTTTTTTTTTTTTTTTTTTTGGTGGAACCGGGGATTAGAACTCAGGCCCTTGCGCTTGCCAGTCCAGGTGTTTCTGCGTAGCAGAGGAAAACATCTGTCATAATATTTGGCAGATTGCACAGCCTGGGCTGCACGAGGTTGGGTGGCTTCCAAGTGGAATGGGCTGGAAGCTGATGGGATAGGCTGGGCCTCCTGGTTGTGTGGCAGGAATACAGCTGCCCTGCAGGCTGTCTGTCGCCACCTGCCGGCCACCCTGCCCCTGAGATGGCCCCTTCAACTCCACTCACTGCAAAAGCCCAGCTAAGAAACATTCCTGGACTTTTTGGAACTCAGGAGTTAACAGTCTCTACTCTGGCCCTGCTTGGATTGCTCTGTGTGGGCTTAGCATTGCATGGCACTAGGCGGGTGAGTCACAGGAGCCACCGCTCAGAAAGACACAGCGCAGGGCTTATTCCCAGGCTGCCCTGCTCTGAAGGGATCTAGCCGCACCACAAGCTGGGGGACTTGACACTGGCACAAGCAAGGGGGAAGCAAATAGGCAGGTGGCTTCGTACCACAGCGCTGGCCAGCGGCTGGCTGTTGGCTAAAGGCTTGGGATCCTGCTCTGACCACTGAGGTTCATCTCTGATATTCAAGGGACAGAGCTGTTGGGGGTTCTTCGTTTGTGTGCTTGCTAGGCCCGCAGAAACTGTCAGTAGTACTTTGTGAAATAGGTTTCCTGTGTCCCACTGAGAAGAGCAGCACCCCTGGCTTGGGAGTTCTTCTTCCAGCCCTCACTTCTTTACCCAGTGCTGCCCCATCCAGGTCCTGTGACCTTAGGGTGAGTTAGAACCAAAGCTGGTGTTTTAATCAGTTGGCTGAAACACCTTGTACTGGGCCAGGGATGTAGTTCAGCGGCTCAGTGCCTGCCTGGCAGGCATGAGGCCATGAGTTTGATTCCCTGTACCACACACAAAAGAAGCTTCAAACACCTTGTATTGGACTGGGAAATAGAGGACATTCCAAAAGTGCTCACAGTGGTCACCTCATTTGGAGATTTTGCAGAAAGCTAAGTGTGTGTCGTGACTGTGGCCACCCACCCTTCCTGACAGCTGTGTGGTCTTCTGGAGTGAGGAGGGGGAGCCCCAGTGAAGTAGAACCCCCGCCCCTAACGTAAGAAAGTAGGATCCCACTACATCTATAGGCTATATTTGCCTATAGAGCCCCTCTTCCAAGAATGGAAGAGGGGGCAGACCTGAGCCACGCAGAGAGTTACCTGGGTAGGGTTTTATCCTAGGCTGAGGCTTCACCATTGTCTTGCTGGGGGATCCCAGGCGTGGAAGGGAGGAGTCCTGCCACATGCCCCAGCAGCACATCGCTGCCCTGTGTAGTGCAGAGTAGGGCAGTGGCCCTTTGCTTCTGTGCTTTGCAGTGTTTTCCTGTTTCTGTTTTATGTTCATTGGTTCTGTTCTCTAGTACCAGGGCTTGAACCTAGAAAGCACTGGGACACTTGCCTCAAACTTGAGATGGTCCTGCTTCATCCTCTGAGTGCTGGAGGAGTGGGCCTTGCAGGTGTGGGCCGCCACCCCCAGCTCTGCTGGCCCTTTTGGTTATCCTCTCAGTAAATCCATCCCAGAGATATGGAAATCCTGGTGTGCATCTGGCCAGCCTTTTTCCTCCACCTTCCTCACCCACTCCTCCCATAACTGCGCATGTACCAAGGGGGAAAATACACACATTAGCATTAAAAGACCTAATTCATACCCAAAAATGCAGTGTTTTTCAGCCTGGCTTCCTTTTGGCCCACTTTTGTTTACCTGGTTCATGCATCATAGGATGTAGGGAGACTGGGAGAGGATTTTGGTCTCCTTGCCACCTGTCCCAGGGCATATTCCCAGTTACGCAGGGCTTTTGTTGGCATTGGGGTTAAGAATAGGGGCTGTGGTGTTGGAGTGATAACCATGTGCCTTGGGGTCACCCGGGCTCTGTTTCTGCCCCCCGCCCCCCCGTTAGTTGCTCACCAGCTGTGGCGGACTGACCACTGGTGGGCAGCTGTGGGGCCCCCCGAGGATTGTGGTTGGCAGCATAGGAGGCAGAGCTGGAGAAGAAGTTTAGAAGCTGTTGGGAGCTGTTTCCTGGGGCTGCTGTTGGTCCTCCTGGGTGGAGCACCTTGTCATGCTGGCTTTCCTGATTAACTCGGCTGTTCTTATCATTGGAGAGTTTGGGATCTTGTTGTCACAGGAATGGCCACGGTTCATTTTCGGGGAGCTCTGGTCCTGACTTTGAGCATCGCTTCCTGGCTGTGGAGGAGGAATGGTGCACTCACTGCTCAGTCTTCCGGAAGAGCTTTTTACGTTGGCTCTCTTAGTAGGAGCTTGGCTGCATTGTCGTGGCTCTCGGCCTCCAGCTGGACTCATTAGAGGCATTGTTATGAGCTCTAGGTCTTCAGCTGGATTCATTCGTGGATCTCTTGTATGTGGGCAGATTTCCTGCTTTTTTTTTTTTTTTTCCCCCCCTTCAAGTACCTTAGATCAAACTTGGGACCTTGCACTTGCCAAGCAGGCGGTAATGCCACTGATCAAATCTCTGGCTTCTTTTTGCATGTGACTGTGGGTGACTATTATAAAATAAGCTTATAATTAGGTGCCCTGTATTGTATTGTTCCCCTTGCAAAACTGTAACACTGACCACTGAGTGACCCTGAAAGTTCTGTCTTTTGAAGACCAGAACTCCTTAGGCTGCAGGGATGGGGTAAGCAGAGCTTGTTCCAGAGCGTTTCTCTGTGCCCTTCAGGATGCAGGGTAGGCAGGGTGAGACAGCCTGGCATTCCATGTACCCACTGTCCTGGGAATGAAACTGTCCTTGCTTTCCTACCTCACAGTAAATCCTCAGTGTTTCTCACATCGTAACCAAGAGGGTTCAGGAGATAGCGCAGCAGCGTAAGTGCCTGCCCGGCAAGTACAAGGTCCTGAGTTCAATTCCAGGTACCGCAAAAATAGAAAATTAAAAATAAACACTGTAACAAGAATGTATGTTTGTTTATTTATTTATTTTGCTTTTTTATGTACAGGGTCTACAGGATCTCACTACATAGATCTGACTCATAGTGATTCTTCTGTTTTCAGCCTTCCAAGTACTGGGATTACAGGCGCGCGCCACTGTACCCAGTCTCAGCCCAGTCTGACTGGCACGGCACGCTGGGGATCAAACCCCAGCTACTGTGCTCTGCCTAAGCAGGCGCTTTAGTTCCCCTGAGCTATCTAGCTGGCCCGAATGTTTTTCTTTTTAAAGTGACTAATATTTTTGTTTGAATATTCTCATGGAATCTTAAATTGAGAGCAGTGTGAGTCAAGGCATGATATTCTTAGGTATAATGGTACAATTATGTAGATAATCTCATTTAAAAATATTTACATGTAGCCTACCTCTGAGGCTCCCTGAGCGGCCCCTTTTGCTTTTGCTGTCCCTCCTGCCACTGGGATGGAGACATAGGGCTTCTCTTTCGCACACTTACTTAGCTCTTAATCCGGAAGAAGACCTAGGACTGCACAGCTTCCTGTCCTGTGTCATCCTGTCAGGGCTTTTCCTTTGCCCTTGACCTCTGTTGTCTTATAATGATAAATGCTGGGTTATACATGTGCTTGGTTTTATCCCCGTTAGTGTGAAAGAATTGGTGCTTTACCAAGATCACAAGGTACAGAATCTGTGTGTGGCTGTGAGCCATTGAACACATTGGATCGGTGAGGTCCAGCCAGAGGTCCGCCTTGGCAGAGCCGCAGCTGGAGTCCTGGCCCACTTCGTGGCACACCTTATTCTCCAGAATCCCACAGTAGATCTGCCTGCCTGCCACCTTCGGTTTGCTCTTAGCTGTCTGTGATGGATTAACCCTTCATCAGGAAGGATTAAAGCTGGACCAGCATTGAAGCAATCTTGTTCTGCTGTCTGCTACTTTCAAGCAACCCAGTTGGGGGTGGGCAGAAGGGAAAGGGAGGTAGTGCTTGTCCTAAAAGCACCCCGGTGAGGGGAGAGGAGGCAGATCAGCTGGAGGTACAGTGTGGGATAATTCCCAGCTGCAGGTTGGGAAGCCCGGATGGAGCAGGCAGCCGGCTTCATCAGTCTAATGAGATGTCACATGGAACAAAAGCTTTAGGGGTTTTATTTAGCTCTTAATCCGCATGCTGAGAGAGCGGAGGTCCATGTGAGCACAGCAGCTAGGCAGGGGGACCGCCGGACAGCGTCCTTTCTGGGATGGAGCTGCACGAGACAGACCTCCGAGCTGCTGTCAGGGGAGTGAGGCAAAGTTACCGTGAGTCTGCTGTTTAGCCTACTAACGTTTCAGAGGATTAATAATTTAGGCTGCGCTTTGAAACAGAAACCCCCAGTTGGTTGTTCCTGGCGTCTCGGAAGGGTTCACATACAGCTAGGGCTGGTTTTGATGTATGTAATTGAAGATTTATGAAGAAAGCCTTCCTCTCCCGCCTCGCCTGCAGTCATTTGTTCTGCTGATGCCGGTTCCTAGTAGGCATATCAATATTGGTCGTTCGCAGAGCTGGGATGCTGCCGGCTGGTACGAAGGCCCCTGGGAGCATGCTGAGGCTCCGCCACCCCCGGGAAGGAGAAGCTCTCTGACGTATGGCTCCGGCCAGGGGGCCTGGTGTGAGCTGCTACCACCCCACCGAGCTCAGGACGCCACGCTGCCCGGGTCCCCTGAGCCCTACCTGTACCGGGAGGCCTTTTATAACTCGCTGGCTGCCAGGAAGGGCTCTGTTCCTGACTTCACCTTCTACAACAGCAGGCAGGCAGTGATGTCGGGTCGTGGTACCCTCCTGCCACAGGATTACTACAGCGACCCATCCAGAGGCACCAGGGCACCCAAAGAGCCACCCTACTATCGGGACCCAGGAGCGGGTCCGCTGGTGCCCAGCTATGGAGTACTTGGCAACAGAGTGCCGTGGGAGCATCTACAAGGCCAGCTGCCTGCCCTGCAGGATGCCAGCCACCCATACCCGGATCCTGGGGATAAAATGCTCCCTGCCGGTCAGCGGACAAAAGGCAGGGCCCCATCTCCTGGGCATTATGGAAGGGAACTGCCTGATGCCAGGTTTGGGGCAGAGACAGCTGCCTACCCACCCAGCCAGGTGTACAACAGTGTTGGGGAGAGACCTGCCGACTCTAATCCTGCCAAACAGATGGCTCCGACCTGCCTGGTTGTGGACTCTGGCCCAGAGGCTCCCTCTGAGAGCGGCACCGGCGTGGCCCCAGGTTCCCTGAATCGAGGCTATGGGCCTCCCCGGGAAAGTGTCCACTCTAAGATGGCTTATGAGAATTATGAGGCTGACCTGCCTGTGTTGCAGGGACCCACTGGCAAGAGGACTGTGCTCCCAGAGTTCTTGGCACTACTTCGGGCAGAGGGTGTCGCGGAGGCCACTCTGGCGGCCCTTCTGCAGCAAGGCTTTGATTCCCCAGCTGCCCTGGCCACCCTGGAGGATGCAGACATCAAGTCTGTGGCACCCAACCTCGGCCAGGCGCGCGTCCTGAGCCGCTTGGTCAGCAGTTGCAGGACTGAGATGCAGCTTCGGAGGCAGACTCGCGCAGGCTCCCTGCCCCGCATGCGGTCCAGCAGCTTCAGCCATCGGAGTGAGATGCTGCCCAGTGATTTGGCCTCATTGGGGGCCACAGCCCTGCAGCCCCAGCCTGCGGGACCCCTGCAGATGGCTTCTCCCCAAGCTGGAGACCTGGCTCGCCGCCCTTCTAGTGCACCCTCTCAGCATCTCCTGGAGACAGCCACTTACTCTGCCCCTGGGGCAGGCCCTCAAGTCCCGCATCTTCCCTCCAACTCGGGCTATAGCTCTCCCACCCCTTGCGCCCTCACAGCACGGCTGGGTCCTTCTTACCCTCAGCAAGCTGGGGTGGCCTTGTTGAACCCGGGCCCCTCAGTCCCCCTTCACTCGGGCCCCAGAACAGCCTATTCCACCTCGTACACGGTACCCATGGAGCTGCTGAAGCGGGAGCGCACTGTGGTTGCCTCTCCACTGCCCAGCCCCCATGGCAGCCCCCAGCTCCTGCGGAAGCCTGGAGTCCCTGTGGAGCCATCTACCTTGCCACCAGTCAGCCAAAGCCTGCACACACCACACTCACCGTACCAGAAGGTGGCCCGGCGGACAGGGGCGCCCATCATCGTGTCCACCATGCTTGCACCAGAGCCAAGTAATACACCCTGCCACCCGTCCTCCGTGGGCAGGACATGACTGGGCGGGTGTGGGGAGGTCGGAGCGTGGGATATTATGCCCCCACTGGCCAGCTTAGGAGCAGACAAACACATATGCACATGCATATGCCACATGCACACACCCTGCTAAACTAGAAATCACAGTGCTTTGCCAGCTCCCAGGCTACCCAGTGGACCCAAGTAGTCTTGGGTTCAACAGATTTGCAACTTTACTGGGGATCAAACTTGGACCTTGCTCTTGGGAAGCAGGTGCTTATGCGGGTGAGCTATCTCCTGGGCCCTTCAATAGCTTTACATATCAGTGGATCCACCTTGGTTTGTGGATTCCCCCTGTGGTCCTTTGCTGCAGGTGTTTCCTGGGGAGACTCTAGTCCTGCAGGATGGACCTTCAGCACATGAGGGATGCTGATACCTCAGGTCACTGTGGGTAGCTTTGGAGAAGGTAGGAGGGTCAACCAGACATCTATGAATTGTGTATGGCTCATTTGCTGCTGAAAGTGCTTTACTGTGCTAATAACGCATGCCTCAGTGGGGCCAGCGCGCGGTATCCAAGGCGGGGATTAACCACCATGGAGATCGAAATGTGTGCGCCGCCTCACTTGTGGGTTAAACAAAGCAAGATGTTGGAATCCCTTGGAACTCCCTGTTTCAAAAACAGATTTAATCTCAGTTTGGAAAATGCAGTTGGGAATTCTGCTTACTTGTAGGAAAGGATATATTTCCAAGTTGACGAAGGGAGATAGACGGTAGGTGGTTTTCTGCAAAGCATGAGCCAAAATGTGGTTGATTATATGTGTTTCCTCGGGCATTGTGGTTAAACTTCTGGGTTGGCATACTCTGCACAATTACAATTTTTATTATAACCAGAGTCTTCACTAAAAAAATCTAAGTATGTGTGTATCAGATTTCTTCCCTTAGCTCCCCATGATAGTTTATAGAAATGAATCCTTTTTGTGTAATTTTTTCTTTTTTTCCTGAATAACCAGTGTTATGGGGAGGTACCATGGTGACAAATAAGATTTATCTTTTTACAATACCCCTGGAACAACTGTGCCTATCAGGAGCCAGGTCTTTGCAAATCCGTAAGGTAGAGCCTGGCCTGTTCTGTGCGAGGGCGGGGCCTCGGGAAACTGTCATGGCCTCTGATGCTTCACTTAATCGCCATTCGGGCACTTTATTTCTCCACTGCCTGGATGTTTCTGGTTTCTGTTGCTCAAGATTTTTGTTTTGTGTCGTGTTTTTTAAGTGTGATCAGATACTTTATTTTACTTTCTAAAATCCACGGGGAGACGAGGGCAGTCAAATAACGTTTCTGAGGGGCTGTGCCTTCTCTCGGTCGAATATTCTTTCTTTGCAACCAGCTAATTTGCATGGCGATGACATTTGTTGCTCTAGTAATTTCATCTGATAATGGCTGGGCTTGCAAAGCGGATCTGAAAACATATTCCTTAATTATGCGTTGCTAAGCAACGGGAGGGTTTGGTCATAATCACAGAAAGATTATCTCCTCATTGAAGTCGTGGAAAGGTTTTGCTGAAGGGAGGACCTGCAGAATTGCCGTATTTTTTTTTCTCCTTTCTGTTTATTTTGCACTGCCTTCTAACGGAAACATTCACTGCTGTTTGGGTACGGGGTGAAGGGTATTATATAAGTTGTTTGGAGTGTGATTGTTAACACTGTTTTGCAAACCCAAGTTTATTGATTTTTATTTTATTTGCATGGCAGTGAGCCAAGGCAAAGGGAGGCTCCAGTTGGAAGTCTGCCAGCAAATAAATTTCCCTGTCAAGCGGTCTGTCCCATAGCAGCAGTTGTCATCCTCAGTCCCCACTACACATTCCATGTGGCATTGCAGCTGTACAGTCAGGGCTGGGGCCAGGGGCTTGGCTTTCTAGGTAGATTCTCAGCTTCATGATAGGTGTTTCTTAGAATCAAGCTAGATTTCGGTTTGTCATGGGCAGGGGGTCTAGATAGTGTGCCTGGAGACATTCCCCCGGCAGAGTTGCTGAGCCCCAGAGAGAGGAACATTTGCATTTGAGGAAGGCATCCTGACCATGCCGAGCCGCTCAGCTCACCTCTGAGCCTGGAGATGCCAATCTCAGAATCTTAATCCAGCCACTTTGCTCCGTTGGGGCTCAGCCAGATTGAGTACAGCTTTGTTTCAGTTTTACCAAACTCCAACATTTCCACACAATTTGGAAGAATCTGAAATGCCAAGAGTGCCAGCTTTCTTCCACACTTTTGGAGAGGTGATATTGGTGTATTGACAGTGGAACTGCTTGTGGAAATTTTTGCTTGTTTTCTTTTTTTTTCATGCTTTGAATATTGTAACGTTTGCCTCATCTTGGTTGACTTCTGTGCACATGAGTGATAGGTTTCTATTTGCCAGCTTCTTGCAGCAGTTCTAAACTCACTGGGCAGTTTAGGACATCTCTGAAGGCAAGGCTGGCACACATGCAGGGTTACTGGGCTTCTGGTGAGACCTGCATGAACAGTGGCAACTGCTGGGTCTGTGTTCGCTCGCTGACCTGGCCCACTGCAGCCTGAGCCACAGCGCTTTCTGGCCTTGACCATCACATGTCACTTGGGGCTAAGGGTTTGATGCTACCAGATTTCTGTGCGCCTGTTGCCAAAGGCAGTACCATGTACGCACAAGGGCTGCAGCCTCGGTCATGCTTTTGTTTTCCCAAAATACTGCACAGCACAGGGCCTACAGCAGCAGGCTCAGCTGATGGACGGGTGCCAGGTTCAGTTTCCCACCCAATGCCTCACTGGGATGTTTCCATTTTCTTCCAGACATTTTTCTTGATGCAGTTGGATGGATAAAGCACCTATGAGCCACTCCTTCCCCACATTTAATTGCTACAGTCTCCTCAGAATGGTAGATTCCCTTGGCTTTTTATGTGCAGGGCCCCTGAGTGGTGACAGCACTCTCCTATCTCCAGAGTTGGTCACTTGCGTGTTGTCTGTTGGGGCAGTGAAATCAAGGCACAGGATTCCAGCACCCTGGCTGTGAACTCCTGATCCGGCCAGAGAAATTCTCTAGGTTGGAAAACCCAAGTCCCATCAGAATGAGAAGAGGTATGCTTCCATTAGACCAGAAATCCTCCCAGCCCAGCCCTCCCCGCCCATAGTCTTTGTTCCAACAGCTTCTGTTTGCTTTGAGGCACCTTCTGCACAGTAAGATGTGTCTTACCGTCTGGATCAAAGAGCAGGGACAGAAGGCTTACTGTTCCGGAGCCTCATGGTCCTCAGACTCAGGGGATCCTAGACATGGCCACTTGGTTGTAACAAGGGCCAGGATAGTGACAGGCATGGCTGTGTTATCAGTGCTTTCATGTCCATGGCTGTTAAAGGAGGAAGGGACTGGACCTGTCTCATAGGCTTGCAGAAGCGGAGATCAGAGAAGAAAGAAATTGGTCAAGGGGCTGTGGATATAGCAAGCAGCACAGTGCCTTTCTAGCAAGCACAAGGTACTGAGTTGGATTCCCACCTCCCCCTCGCTCCCCCACCAAAAAAAAAAAAAAAAAAATCAAAGGTGAGGTCATTGGGCCTGCTTTGAAAATAACACTTTTGTCACTGAGATTGTGCCTTGGACATTTGGCCTCAAAGTAAGGCTAGACCACTTACAGTGGCCTCCTCTGACCCTTGGATGTGGATGTATTCCCACGGAGAACACAGGTTGAGCCCTGTGCTGATGTCTTCTTTAAACAACAGAAAGATTGCTCTGCTAGGCCTGAGTCTTGTTGAACCTTAACAGCCAGCACTTTAGGAAGCCAGGGCAGAAGGATCGTAAGTTCAAGCCCAGCCTAGGCAAGATCCTATTGGGGGGTGGGAGGGGACAAAGAACACAGAGCTGGGATCCTTAACTTTTTTTTTTCAAAAGCACTTAATGAGCCTTTTGCAAACATGGGTGTCTGGGGATCTCTATAAATTCACTTTGCCTGTAGCTTGGGCTGCTCTGATGGTGCAGCTCACCACAGTGGTGTGTGTCTTTCGTATGCCCCCAGTGGAAGGACTTCAAAGGAGAGAAGATCTTGTGTTTGCTGCCTCACATGGTACAGAGCATAGCAGGCGGGTTTGCTGGTTTTTAGAAAGGAATTGACCTGTGTTTTCACAGGAGTAGCCAAGATTGCAGTTAGGGAGCCGGTCACTTCTGCTAGTGTGCCTGACACCATACCCACTAATGGTGGCTGGGTGAGCCCACTGTACCTACTGTAGAGAACCCCACATACTGCCTACCCTGCAGGAAGCTGCCCATAGGTGGGGCTGTGGCTGCTAAATAACAGATTCATATTGTAGTGCTTCTCCTTCCCCATACTGGACTGCAGGGATTACTGCAAATTTCAGGTACAGGAGGGGAAGCCAGCAGATCCCATGCCACACGGCCTTCTGCTTCCTTTCAGATAGACTGTCAAGTCTTGTCTACACAGGGCTGTCAGCGTTCACTCCACCACGTCAGCCTGGGGGCTGGGAGGGTCTTCTGTGGGTCCCTGGCCCAGGAGGTTCTAACCTCACTCTGGAGTTCTGTATGGGGTACACTTGGCAGATGTTTCTTCCTTTCCATGATTATCTTTTCACTTTTTTTTTCTTTTACAGAGAATAAAAAATAATTTTTAGAATATTAGAAACAATAAGGGTCCAGGGAGATAGCTCAGTAGAATAAGTGCTTGCCTGGCAAACGCAAGGGCCTGAGTTCAATCTCCGGTTCCGCCAAAAAACAAAACAATAAAGAATTTCAAGAAATAAGATGATAGGAATTCAGTAGTGGTTCTCATATTGCACATTGTTGTCTTTAAAGCAGTTGCTGAGATTACTAGATATAGGCATCTAAAGTTGATCAAAATAAATTTGATTTGATTTATTTGATTTGATTTTTATTTACTTATTTATTATTTTTGGTGGTACCAGGGATCGAACTCAGGACCGTGCACTTGCCAGGCAAGCACCTATTCCACTGAGCTATCTCCCTCACCCCTGA